CGTTGAAAACAGGTGGTTGGACGATAAAGTCGATGAGTCAAAAAATTAATAATCTCCTGACGACATGCATTTTGGCCGCTCTATTTCAGTATTTGGGATACATGCAGAGTAGGTCTACTAGTAGTAGTACTACAGTCTACAGTAACTACTACTAGTACTACTGTAGTACTACATGTATTGTATACATGTAGATCTACATGACTCAGGCAGCGCCTGTTCTTGCACGTCACGACTCGAGTCGATTTTGTTGCCCTTCAACATGATCAATGGCATCGTCCCATCGACCCATGTATCCGTGCACGGGTGACAAACTCATGCCATGTTGTACGGAACGCGGTCGTTGTAGCGGTCAGAGCTCTCACATAAATTGACAGTTGTGGATCCTCGACGCTTTGAGTTTGAGCCTTTGTTGCCAACTAGATGTACTGAACTACTACTACTAGTATCCTGAGTCAAAAACTGCCATAAATAGCACGTCGCAGTCATGTCCACCAATATGGTACCACAAAGCTGTTTACATGATTGTAGCACATACATGACTGTGTACGTGTCGCTAGCTACATGTACACAGTCGTAGTCATCAGGTCATAGGGGGTTAGCCGTGATGATATTCCGAAACTGCACAATCAAAACTCTGACTGATACTGATAGCGTCGGACAGAAGGTCCAAAGAGTCAGGGATTACTCGCCTCCTTTGTCCCCATAAGAATTGCCAAGAAACCTGGGCCATACTAGCCAAGGCTGTCAATGGCTATAATAACTCGTGCTGGTGCGGATACGGTGCAAGCAGCTTCGCTCTTCTCCTCCTCCTTCTCCAGGTTCCCTGTGACCCTGTCCCTCGTCCTCTTCGCCTCTCCCCTCGTGTGGGCCCCAGGCTACCTGATGTCATACGGAGGTAAAACTCCTCGGCATCACATTTGACTCGGGTCTCTCCTTCAAGACCCACCTCCACAACACAGCACTCAAGGCGAATTCTCGCTTGGGCTTCCTGCGCAAAGCTGCTCGCGTACTCGATGGTGCTGGTAAACGAACCGTCTACAGAGGTTTTGTGAGGCCAGTCCTAGAGTATGCGCCATTGGTATGGATGGGAGCAGCTTCAAGCCATCTGCGCCTTCTTGATCGAGTGCAGAGACGCACCCTCCACATTCTTGGCCCTTATGTCCTCCTCCAGAGTTTGGCAGCAAGGAGATTGGTCGCCGCCCTCAGCTACATGTATAAACTGATGTGTCTGGCAGGGCCACCGCAACTAACGTCGCTGGTGCCCCCCCCCCCCCAACAGCTTCCTCCACGAACATGTCCTCGAAGTCGGTCCGACCACTCGGTGCGCCACGAGTCTCAGCTACAGAACGTCCTCCCGGCTTCCTCTCCTGATTACGTGCGACGCTGCTTCCCCTACAGCATCATTGACGTGTGGAACAACTTGCCCCCAACTGTGCATGCAGTCTCCGCCACGCCTGACGTCCCTCCAGTCGTTCAAGGGCAAGGTGCATCAGCACCTACAACAAAGCCGCTGGTATAGGGCTACAGACTCGCTGTAACACCCCATATATCCACAATCAGCTCCCTCCCCCTCACTTATCTATTTACATGTGTTTCGTAATCCCGTCCATGGTGCGCTGGATAGCGCTAACGCCGAGACCCTAGGTCGGCGTTGCTAGTCCCGCCTCACCGGCACAGGCTCCCTGAGAGGCTGAGAGCCCCTACTGGTAGATCTACATTGTCTGTCTTTCTCCTTTGTTGGCTCAATCATTATTTTTCTTTTGTCTTCTTCTTCTCCTCTCTTTGTTATCGTCTATCAGTAGGAGGTGCATTCTGTAAAAACAAAACAAAACAAAAAACACAAGCCTCGCGCAGCGATATCACTGTTGCATCACCGGTGCACCAGCATCGAGGTCACCCGTGTGACACTTCCTTCCACAAAACAAACCCATCATGATTCAGATACATACAAGTCATTGATGATTGTAGATACTTGTGTTTCGTTCTTGCCATGGGCCCATGGCGCCCCTGATGCCAATTCTCGATGTCCATGGACAACAAGCAGCCTGATTGTTCAGACAGTAGTAGAAAAACGCGGACGGTGAGGAGCAAGCATTGATAGCAAGCCTTACAGTTGTAAGGCTGTCGCTGCGGTGATACTAATACACACGCACATGTATATTCTTCTTTTGACCAGACTACTCTGTCCATGTAGGGTAGGGAAAGGGTTGGACTAAACAAGTAATGCTGTTTCATATAGACGCGCGATATTGGGCTCTCTACGGACGGTGGATGAACTTCACATGGTACTTCCTGTTGTACCCGTGGAGTGTGGCTAGAAAACTGCATGCTCGTGGACTCTCGGTAAGCGTCGTGTGGTCTCGTCTGGTCAAAGAAGAACATAATTAATTATCACATGATCAAGAGTAAAGTGTATGTTGGGGGGGGGGGAGTGATTACTGTACCCCTCCCCCTCCCCAATCCCGGAGTTCCTACTTCCCAAGTGCAGCTGTAACTAATACTTACTTTGCCCGAAACTCCAAGTATCGGCAAGTACTAAGTAGATCTACCAGTGGCAGGGAGTGGCACCACTCCCTGCCCAGTGATAAGTACCAGCAGGAGTATTATAAGGGGGCTTACGTGTACATGTACATGTACATGTACATGTATATCCCCTTGCCTTGGTACCAGGCAGCAAGAGAGTAGTAAGTGCGGGGCAGGTTCTGGCACACTTTTTGACCTTTGACCTTTGGTCCAAATAAGGCACACTGTGTCGGTCGTGCTGGGTCTGGCCCCGGGATCCCCCAGAGTTTGACCTTTGACCCCTGGCATGCCATAAATGTCATTCTTAAAGGGGAAGTATACCCTAAAATCAAATTTTCACCAGTTGTAGTCTTCTGGGTGCTGAGTCGAATGGTCTTGGTCCGAGGAAGCTGCGACGCTCCCTTCCTACTTGAATCCCAATCGAACTCGCGCACTTCCACCGAAACTGGGTGACTGCGCCCTACTAGATGGGGATTTGTATGCAAAATGTCACTAAAAGCGCCATTTCGTTCTTATAAAAGCACGGATGACCGCGATTGGCCCATATGTTGTAGTCTTTTGGACGCTGAGTCGACTGGTTTTGGTCCGAAAAGGCTGCGATGCAGCGTTCCTCCTTTATTCCCAATCGAACATGGTTGAACAAGCGGTCACGTGCTCCTGGGTGCCCAAATCACCTGGTCACCGCGCCAGCAGGCGACAACTTTCACACCAAGGTTCAACTCGAGTTCAACTCGAGTGACAGGACTGCACCCAAAAAAGGTCAAACAGGCTAGTAAGTTGTACCCTGCAGGCACGGTGACCAGGTGACTGGTGTACGCAGGAGCACGTGACCGCCTGTTCAACCATGTTCGATTGGGAATAAAGGAGGAACGCTGCATCGCAGCCTTTTCGGACCAAAACCAGTCGACTCAGCGTCCAAAAGACTACAACATATGGGCCAATCGCGGTCATCTGTGCTTTTATAAGAACGTAATGGCGCTTTTAGTGACATTTTGCATACAAATCCCCATCTCGTAGGGCGCAGTCACCCAGTTTCGGTGGAAGTGCGTGAGTTCGATTGGGATTCAAGTAGGAAGGGAGCGCCTCAGCTTCCTCGGACCAAGACCATTCGACTCAGCACCCCGAAGACTACAACTGGTGAAAATTTGATTTTAGGGTATACTTCCCCTTTAAGGTGGCAGTCTGGGTTCAGAGGGTCAAAAAACAAAGTTTCGATTTTCTGTATTTTTTCACTGGCAGCGTCTTGTGTATGGTCCAAAGGGTTTATCCTGAAAATTTGAGCGTAATCGGGTGCTTCCTTCCGGAGATATAGCCGCGCAAAGTCTGCACAATTGTTTTTGAAATACTGAAATATCAGCAAATTTCTACAAAATTTAGGTTTGCACACTATTCCGATTTTTACCGTCAATCTTTGAGCGATTTCATTAAAATTTTCTGGAGCGACTCCTGGTACTCCTCTGCGCTGCAGACTGACAGCCGCGCACGATCTTTGTCACCATGGCAACCAAGATAACTTTTGCGCATGCGCAAATTCAAAAAAATTCAAATTTCGACTCTCATGATCTCAGCTGATCGCTCTGCTGTTGAAACTAGTTACTTTTGGAGTAATTGTTTTGGAGTAATTGTTTCTTGGAGCTAACCCCTTCGTTGGCTACTATGGGGAAGTCTAGAGCCAAGGGAAAGCCCGGACGATCTAAGAAAAGGAAAAGAACGTTCTATGGAGTGTCTCAGGCGCCGAAGGCTCCCTCTGGTGAAATTTCGCCTGCAAAACAAATTCCTGACTTGCCACTGTCTGATGACGACCTTGAAGTGTCAGCTGAAGCCACGTCTTCAAACAGCGATAGTGATGGAAGTGGCGGTGAAGTCGACAGCAGTTCCTCCGACAGTGACTTGGATGAAGAGTGTGAGGAAGGGGCGCATGGATTTCGCCTGATTGATCTCGAGTGCCTTCAGCAGCTTTTGTCAGCTGCAGTTTGTTGCAGTGGCTGTAATGGCGCAGTCACGATCAGCGAATCGCAACGGGGAGGCCTTGCATCATGCCTGGAGCTTTCCTGTGTTAACTGCGGCGACATAGCAAGCGAATTTATGTCCAAGAAGTTCAATCGGGTCTGGGAGGTGAACAGACGAGCAGTATTCGGAATGCGACTGATTGGCCGTGGACGTCAATCAATGGTAAAGCTGGCGGGTGCACTGAATATGCCATCACCTATGAGTCGGTCGACATTTTACAGCCATGCTAAAGGCCTGCATTCCGCGTCCAAGAGCGTCGCTGAGCGTAGCATGACTGAGGCAGCTGAGAAAGCAGTGTCCGCAGCAGATGGGGGTAGCGATATCGCTGCTTCCTATGACGGTACCTGGATGCGCCGAGGATTCGCATCGCTCTTCGGAGCCTTCACTATAATTGCATATGATGTCGGCAAAGTGGTGGACTGCGAAGTGCTTTCAAAGTTTTGCCACAAGTGCACGCACTTGGCGTC